TTATTTCTTCACTTTTTTCGGTGTTGCATTAGCATAAGCTAGCCTTTCTTTGCAACAACCATGCTTGCAAAAATAAAAATTCAGTTCAGTTCAGTTCAGTACGTATGCTGCTCATAAATTTCAAATAACTGAAAAAGACAACGTCAATGAAATTGAACGAATAGTTTATAGTTATACCCAAACCAATAGTAATAACGAGAAAGACTGAACAAAAGCAAAGTTCTATTTAGATAAGTATCGAGAAAGAAACAATGGTGATTATTAATTACATTATAGTCATTTTCTCAATTTTTTGGGGTCATTGCACAATAATGAAACATTTTTGATTGAAATCTTCCACCACCGACACGAGAGATAGACTTCTGGTTGGGACTGCAAGCAGTAGGCCAGCAATAGTGAGCAGAGAATTAAAAATACCGATACTACTTGTAACTACTTTTGCTATATTCACATTTTTATGATGTTCATCCAGTTTGTCAGCAATTTCATTGATCGCTTCAATTAAATTGGTACAATTGTGAATGAATTGTTGTTCTATTTCTGCAATTTCTTTCTCTTGTTCCCAATCCATAACAGATATATTCTCTTGTTTTCTGAAATAAATCGATTTGACGAACAGCAACTTTTTCAAGTATAGTGAAAGTTCAGTATGTGTCATACGTCCTATGTTACAGGATCCAATAAGATAAGTTTCAATGAATTTCTCTTCGGACAGAATGTGGAAAGCATAGGACTGTTAAATGCTGCAGCGAAAGTTTCTTCAATTAGGATATAATACGAAAATCTTCTACTCTGCACCGATTCTGATTCGCAATCGAATAGTATTTTTTGACAGGCTCAGTTCGCCGTTCATTCGACCCAAAACTTATCCGTTTTTTCTCATGTACATAACGTATGATGAAGTAAGAAAAAAGCACCCAGTTTGAGGTAGATAGATTGTCCAAAGTGTTTTCTCCAAAACAGAAACCAGGTGAACTCGTAGTTTTTCGTGGTTTAGGCATGGCATCGGATTGCCTAAGAGTCCCAGGATCAGTGTTTCTTTAGATGTGGTAATTCTGGCAAGGAATGCAAACATAGATAACCGACCACGTTGAATCTCGTGGCAACGTTTATTTTTCAAAAACGTTTCGAATACCTAGTAAAAACCTATATTAGGTGCAATATCCCACTTTTGCCTATTAAAGTAGAAGAATGTTTCATACGATTCTCAAGTAAAAGACATATCGAGCAGATAAAATAGAGTACATCTTGATATTCTGACGTAATTGGGATGAATTTTGACTGGGTTATACATTTTTTAATTTCGCTCAAAAATAGGCAAAAGTGGGATATTGCACCTAATATAGGTTTTTACCAGGTATTCGAAACGTTTTTTGAAAAATAAATGTTGCCACGAGATTCAACGTGGTCGGTTATCTATGTTTGCATTCCTTGCCGGAATTACCACATCTAAAGAAACACTGATCCTGGGACTCTCACGTCAGACAATCCGATGCCATGCCTAAATCACGAAAATCTACGAGTTCACCTGGTTTCTGTTTTGGAGAAACACTTTGGACTCTATCTATGGAATCTATCTATGAAGAAAGATCGACCTATTTTAATGTCAGTTATCAGAGATCCAAACTGATTTTCTAAAGATCTGCACAAAAGGCGCTTTCAGAATATTTCAGCAGATCATTTTTGGGTGTGGAACACTAGCCTCAGATGTCTGCTTTCGATTGCTGGAAATCGTAACGTTCTATCTTACGCTGTTATTGAGTTATCCAAAAAATGGCAACGTGCACTGTATTTTAGACTGATGATAGAGCTCTGCTACGACAACCTGATTTGTGCTTTTCTCATCACTCAGCAACTGTACGGCTTCTCCAGCTGACGGTCTCCATTTTTTGCTCTTTTTCAAAAAGTTATTGCAATAAAGCTGCAACCTAATCTAAAATGGCAACTAGATAATTAAGGAGATTAAACATTTCAATACAAAATGAAAAGTGTCTCGGCTCTGAACGTTGATTTGTTATGAAAATACAGCTGTTGTACAAATAGCCCCCAAAATCAATTTTTGGGCTATCTAAAAAGCGTGTCTAAAAGAGTGAAGACGAACTGGTAAAAATTGAACAAATATACCAGTTTGTAGAAAATTGTTTGCTCTATAAGGTGTGATAGTTTTACAAGTTCGAAACTATTCTAATTAATCTGTATTAATCAAAGAAAAACGGTAACGCTGTGACACTTTTGATCGTTTTTTGTCACAGCGTTACCGTTTTTCTGGTTTTTCATAACAAATCAACGTTCAGAGCCGAGACACTTCTCATTTTGTAGAGAAATGTTTAATCTACTTAATCATCTAGTTGTCCTTTTAGATTAGTTTGCAGCTTTATTGTAATAACTTTTGAAAAAGAGCAAAAATGGAAGCCGTTACCTGGACAAGCAAGCCCATACAAAATCCACACAAACCTGCATATTAATTCTTTCATGTAAATTTAAATATTGTCGCAAAAAACTTTTAATCACTGTTAGTTGCGCGCCGTCTCACATATGAAAATAGTCAACCATTATGAATAGTAATAGTATTCTTATAATAAGTAAAATATGCCAAAGGTACACTATAAACGATGGACGGCTATATTATCATCAGGTGGATGCTTCGAAACTCAGTACGGGAAGGTTAATACAGTTCATATGATGGGTTTATAAGTGAGGTTAGTAATGAGGGTAGATTAAGCCCCTCCTCCCTTCAGAAGAGAGGATCATGGACTTCTATGATGTTTTCGCACATCTTACGTTTTTTGATGAAAAACTGTCCTATGTTTTTATATAGAAGCATCTATAGAAGGTTTTTCAAAATTTTCGCTCAAGACTGGCCATCTATTCTGGCCGTTAATGCAATCTTTGCCATGAACAAGTCATATTTGATCATAGACAAAAAGTAGTTCACATCAAATAATGGTTAAATGTGATCTATTTCCACAAGTGATGACAAGCGAGAAGCCAATATTTTGTTCATAGACAATTTGTTGATCTTCTTAATATTTCGAAAGCTGTTGATTCCATTTAGAAAATTGTAGTCTTACTCCACATAAATGACATCAGGATGCTGAAAGTAAAGATAAAAAATATTTAATAAAAAATTCCAATCAGACTTTGAAACTTTTATATACCCAATCAAGTGGTTCATCGCGTGAACATTCGAGTTCATATTGCTCAATTGTTAAATTTGCTCGCCGTCTATTTTCACGAATTAATAAAATTTTTAATATAATAACAAGTGCTAAAGTAACGCATATGAATCCGAGGGTAATTGAATGACTGATGCGGTAATCGGGATAATATTTGTCCCGATAAATCTAAAGGTATAATGAATGGTTTTTAGAGTGATGTTGAATGAGGATAATAGAACTATTAAAATGCAATGGTTCTGTAACCAACTGAAACAGCTGTTATAACCTTGCTTGCGATGTACCAGACAAATGAAAAAAATCTATCTGTCAATAGATAATTTTAAAAAACTACATGAAGGAGATTATTTGCTGAACTTAGTATAGTTAAACGTACTTGTCCGGCTATCACTCCTCCTAAATTTCCGAAACCAACAATAAGCCCTGTAGCCACTCCTCTTTTAGTTGTACCATCGATATTGTTTGTGAACCAAGAGCAGTGCAGTGGTACCGTCGTGTACGTGCCAATACAAGCAATCACTGTGGCTATATACATTGCAACAGTAGGATCAGTGCTTATGCAATTTGACATCATAGTAGTTTTTGATAATGTTATTAACATAATAAAACCAATGATTGCCATAACTAAAAATATGCCAATATGGTATCCACGCTCATTTTTTCGGCCAGCATGAAATGACACAGCAATTGTTGTTAACGCCGATATGACGAAAGGTGGGGCAGACATGGCTTGAGCAGTGACATTCGAATAACCCATTCCTTTCACAATACTTGGTAAAAATATCGATAAACTATACATAGGTGTGAATATACCAAGACATATGAACATATAAAAATATACTTTCCAATCGATAAATACGTCTTTGACTTGTTTCCATGAGAATCGTGTGTTGCATGCTGTTCCTGCATCATTCCTTAGTCGATTTGTGACTAACTCACGTTCGGTTGGACTAAGCCCTAGAGATAAAAGTATTGAAATACGATCAAAATAAAAGATTGCTAACATACATTTTACAGTTTCAGGAAGATCACCAAGAAAACAGAATGCGATCACTGCTAGAATAATACTTGGTGCTCCTTCAAGAAGAAAGATGAATCTATAATTTCTATCTGTTTTTATTTGAACGATACCATAAGCCTTAAAATTAATTTAAACGACATATGCTAGTGTTTGTACTAGAGAAACAAATCAATCGACTTACCATTAAACCGCCAAAGGCTCCAGCTAAAATGGCTGCCGAAAAAAATAGAGCCATCCGAAATGATTGATCTCGTTTAGCATACCACAATGAAAAATAATATATTACACCGGGAAAATAGCCGGCTTCAGCCACACCCTTATTATGTTTATTCACAGTTTTATTGAACACAGTAGATAAGCAGTTTACATACCAGAAAAAATCTTGCAATCAATAAGTCCTTACCATTCCGTACTGCTGCCGTACTCATAGCGATAACACCCCAAATAAGCATTATTATTGGCATCCATATTGAAGGACCAAGAAGTTTCATAATCACGTTTGATGGGATTTCAAAAAGGGCCTATTATGGAAAGAATTATACAGCGTACGACATGAAAAACGAATAGAAATGCGATGGAAAGTAACGTACATATCCAATAAAGAAGATCGAAACAGCCCAATTATATTCAATATCTGTTATATTTAAATCACGTTGCATAGTTGTTAGTTTAGTGTTGCCTAAAGAGAATACAAATCGGAGTGAAAATTAATTTTGACTAGCACATAACTAACAATTTTTTTCGCTATAGTCAAGTTTTTATACAATTTAGGATTTTCACTTCTCTCAAAGTATGTAAAGAACAAGGTTTTAATTCATTGTAAAGGGTATCATTTGACTGTGAAACTTATTGTGAAAAAGATTATATTAGAGAAAAATTTGAAAACAAAATATAAACCACAGATTCTCTGTACAATTCCCGCTTTGTATACTTCAACTAATTTATTACTACTTAGATGTGCAAATACATCAGTTATTACATTTAGCACTAGTGTTTAAAACATTCTCTCGAAAGTGTTATATTTTATTTTAGTTCGCCTTATTTGATCATTTCATTACACAGTTAATCGCTTTTACTTTCTAATTAATAAAAAACCGACTTTAAAAATTATTTCTATCGAGTTTCTACCTTCTGAAAAATCAATTCTATTTTCAAGAAAAGCAAGTTTCAAAGAAGTTGAAAAATTCTTTTGATAATTTCTAATTATAGAAAAACATTCCTTGATTTTCTAAGTATTGAAAAATCCCTAGTCATCCACTACAACTGACGAATTAAAACGAGAAGAAATGAAGTAAGGTTCAGAATACGGTAATGAACAATCGAAGATCATCTCTTTCCGGTTTTGAGCGATCTACAACAATTTAACTGCAGAAATTTGTCTGCTCATTGTCTGATCAGTGTTGACGTTATAGCAGTACAGAAGGACTTCTGCTTTCTTTACAAAAAAGAGATCTCGAAAAATGCTTTTTTCGTTGAGGCGAATGCACAAGGGGGAAAAAGCGGACTCCTGGACTCCCATGGACTCCTGAAGTCCAGAAGTCCAAGAGCAAAGTGTTCTTTTTTGGGAATCACTCCCAAAATTTTGTTCATTTTTTTGGGAGTGATTCCCAAAAAAAGAACACTTTGCTCTTGGACTTCTGGACTTCAGGAGTCCATGGGAGTCCAGGAGTCCGCTTTTTCCCCCTTGCGAATGCATCTAAGTCAAAAGACAAAAACAAAGCGACACTGAAGAAAATATATACGACGTATTTTTTGAACAGTGTGGTACAGAACATGTATGCGGTAATTCATCTGTCAGATATGAGACTGTGTTATATTAGCCTTTCCTTAGCTGTATTTTTTCGTTTTATCTGTAGTAAGAGGCTCAGATGCAATAAATAAATAACTTGACTAAACACATTCTCTTGTTCATCATTCACTCTTTTGGCAAGAGAAAAAATATTTGCTTGTTTTCTCTCTCATCCTCGTTTCTCAACTCTAAGAAAAAAAAGTATATCTGACCATGATGCGAATGGCTGTACTTTTAGAGTATCGTTCCTAGGCTACTTTTGGTGAGAAAGAGAGAGGATGTGTTAGCACTTCTATTTTGGAGGAGGATTTATAGACACCGTTAACCCTAACGAACTGGAATAGATATAGTTATGATTAGTTCCAGAATGTGTATTAACCATGTCCTTCATTAAATTCAGACATATTCAGAATTTGTCTTCCGAGAATCATCCTCTTGTTTGCTTTATACTCTAATTTTCTAAAAGAACAAAACGAGGGAAAGAATAGAAAGCAAACAGAAACAACAAATGAAACAGAAAAACGCTTAATTTCTTTGAAAATAGTCTACTTTTGATTTTGAATTTGTCCACATAGCTATTCACCGGTGATTTTTAAGTTTAAAAATTCTCGTTGAGTATAAGCAAAATCTATTTGTTGTTTAGAAAAAACGTATTTCATTTTCCGGAAAATTCAAACGCATTCATGAAAAACGTAAAATTCTTGAAAATCATAGTTTCAAGAAAGTGGAAATTCATTGCTGAATTCGTATATGGTCAAATTGAAGATCATTTTTTATTTTCGTTAACTAATTTTCAAGTTTACAGGGTAGTGAAACTTGACCGTTTTTAGCTAGTAAATAGGTTCGAATCTAATTCATGAATGTTCATTTGGTACAGAATAAGATAAAAGTAAAGTTTAATATTAGCTGCTCTCCTTCTCTATTTAGGCACCCACTGGAAGGTCCGAAATATGAGGGACAAAATTTACATTTTTACAAAAAATACTGAAGTATACAGTTTATGTCAAGTATACAAAAAAAAGATAATGTCAGTATCTTTCCGCAACCGTGTCAAGTTCGATATGGTTTTTGACAGGCAGAATGTGAAAGATGAGCTCATATCATGACATCAATGCACTAAATCTAGGTAATATTCCATTTCTTGAGCATTCAACTCATTAGTAAGATTTGAACATAAAAATATGGTATGTACTAACCAATATTAATTCTATCCAAAAACGACCAAAGATAAAGAAATGCTAAGAATGGCACTAATCTTTTATCAATTTTCCATAACACACGTCTAATGGATTTTTCAACTATTTTGTCATGGATTCCAGAGTTAGCTGGCACTACTGATGTTAAGCTATTGTTTGGCTGAGATGACCTTTTACCAGTACGTAAATTAATTTGATTAAGAGAATTTGATTGAGTAAAATTGATAGATCTTGAACCTTGTGGAACAGTATAAGTTTCTATAGCGGTAGTCATATAATTACATATCTGACTGTTTGACGTTTATAGAATACAGGTAAGTGCTTCACTCATCTGATAAATTTCAGTATCTGTTTACTTATCTTAACTACAGAATGATACGCCTGACTGGTAACACTGAATATTTTTCATTTGAATGATATTTCTTACTCCGATGTTAGGAAGAAAGGTAACGATTTTTTTATTTCAAAAATCATTTCTCGTTTTGGTGAATAATATTGTGTACAGTAGTTAGACATTGTGGAAACAGAAAATTCAAATTGATTATTTACGCTTTTCAAGTTCTGACAAAAGGCAAAACTTTCTACAAATCAAGAAAGAATCTGTAGACTATTCACAGTACTCCCCCTTCCCCCCCATGGCCATGGCCTTCTGTTATGGCCTTCTATCCTGAATGGTTTCGCACTTTTTTTGGTGAAAAACTGCCCTACCTCTATAGAACGTTTTTCAAAAATTTTCGCCTCGGACTTGCCTTCTATTTTGGGGGAGGGGGGCTTACAGTATAACCTACACTGTAAAAAGAAAAAGTGTGTAGTAAGACATTTAAAGTGAGCGTGTCACCTTGGAAATGAGTGACTATCTAGCTTTCCATAATGTGATCAATAATATGACCTTGCTCAACGATTTACACTTCTTTGGATTATCGCGAACATCGAGGCTATTTACACACCTAACTACACACTATTTTTTACAGTGTAAAAAAGCCAGAATTAAAAGAATTATGCGGTTTTAAAGACATACTTTCGATAATGTTACACAAGCGTAAGTTAGAGACAATCTTATTTCTTTAAATTTGCAATATATGACTGAACAATTTTAATATAAAATAGAAGTTTGTGCTTATTTGATACTGGATCATTTTCCATTTCTTCGTTTTCTACCGGTCCATAAAACTTCGTCTTCATCTTTAAAATAGGATCTCTGATATGTCAACACCATGTTCACCCTTATAAGAATTTCTGATTTCGATTATGTGTAAGAAATTTTTGACAAATGATTCACCTATATGGCGACTTTTACTTAATGGAAGCGATGTAAGTATATATCGACAAAAATAATAAGCTATTTTTACCCATATACGTTTCATCCCTTGTATTCAAATTTTTGTTCGCCTGGTTTATGTAGTCTCCTTCTAATGAATCTTGAATCCCCTTGCTTTAATCAAACACGGAGATATTTATCTCCGCTTCACCTTCTTCCCCCCTTCCCCTTTTCCCCTTCTTCTAGCCTCTAATATGCTAGAAGTCGTGTCTACTTTTAGTTTGTCATGTGTAAACGTTATACACCAATTGAATCGTACGCAGATGACATCATTTTGAGGCTATGAGGAAGTACTATGTATGACTAATAGAAAATAAATTGCTTTCGTTGATGTTATCTATGTATATCCGGCGTCATCGGTTATAAATTTTGAATCAGAATGCATTGTATCCTCATCAAGTGAACGGAGTAACGGTGAATGTTCACAAAACATATTATTTCTAACATGTTTCTGGCATTCATCCAAAGTTAGCAATCGTTTAACTGATCTCTGTCTTGTATTATCATTCACATTCATTCGAATATTTTCTTTCAAATTAGTGATATAATTTAAATTAATCTTGATTTTGATTAGTTCACTACAATCACTTGAACAGGGAGTTCATTTAGGTGTTTTTGTGTCGAATCATGGATCCTCATTTGACTACCAACACTAAACTACTCTCGAAGTTTTATTATCTTGTTCAACTATTTTTTTACGCTTTTTATCTTCATTCATATAAATAGCAAACGTACATCAGTCAAATTTTATTAGAAGCTTATCAAAGAATGCGATAGATGACACAAATAAGATATATTTGTTCAGATAATGCACCCAGATAAACTATTGAAGGACACAAACACTAACAAAGTAGATTTTATACTTTTGCAATAGTAACCATGTCTCAATTTTTTTTCTTTCTTTTCTCTTTGCCTGAGCACATGATACATTCCAAGAACGAAAAATCTTCCATAAAATTTCCTATTTATCAAATTTTTTCGCTTTTTCTACGATTAATACTAATAGAAATGTGCAAAATAAATAATAAAGACATAATAGAGTATATTGATATCCTCAGAGTCACAATTTATTAATAAGATAATTAATAGGTCTACAATACCAGCATCCAATATCTGCTCTAATTGCAGTTTACAATGTAAAAACGAACGAAGAGTTAAATCGAGGAGGCGAGAACGCTGGATTTATGC